TCTGGGTGGACTTGAACCTCCAACCTTTTCAGTTAGCAGCTAAGTGCATTAACCATTCACATATAAAGATAAATGGTTTTACTAGATTTTAACTCATTCAAATTATTATTTAAAAAATTACATCTCCCTCAACACCTGCTCCAGCATAGAAACGATACTTTGTTCAAAAACTATCAGTGATACAATGATATTGTTTGCCTTCCCTACAGTCCCCATCTTCTGATGCTACATCCATAGAGTATGGGTCTTTTCCTGCTAAGAAAAGGACTGACCTTGCTGGTAGGGGCTGTTCCACTAGTGTGTGTTCTGGAGGGCTGACTGCTCCGGACGCTTGCTGCTTTTTTCTTGAAAATAGAAAATACTAGTTTTAATGGAAGGAAACAGCTCAACAATGTAGCCAAGTGCAAATTTTCATACCAATATAAGTATCTTCTCAAACAAAAATCAGACTAATATACTAAACATACCTAATGTGAATACACGTTAATTTTTAATAACTTTGCCTAAAGACTATATAATCATTGAAGAGAAAGAATAAGTTGAATAAATCCCAGTTGTTCAATATTCAATGATCTGGAAAATTTAAAAAATCTTCAGATGGGCAATTGTCATTTTCTACCAAAATGCAACCCCAGAAACAACATCACTCAGGTAGAGAAGCTACTTTCTCTCTTACATTGCTATGGCGGGCATAAATTGGAACAAACTCTATGGCAGGTAACTTGGCAGTATCTATCAACGATATAATCTACTTATAAAAACATATCTTAGGGAAATAATAGAGAAGTGCAAATACCCTTTTTTTTTTTTTTTTGCAAAGACATTCATCAGGGTATTATAACATCAAATGCTGAAAGTACCTACCATGAGCCATACATTATTCTAAGTGCTCCAAGTGTTTTATGTACCATGTGTAATAACTTATTTAATCTTCTCATTAACTAATACAAACCTGGTAGTATTGTTATCCTCACTTTATGGGTGATGAGACTGAGGAATAGAATGAATAAATAACTTGGCCATGGTCACTGGTAATAAGACGCAGGTGTCTGCTTTAAACCCAATTTTCTTACCAACCTCCACTGCTTCCCACAATAGCGGGTTATGTTAAAGCACAGCAATAGGATGAAATATCACACAGTTATTAAAAACTGTGCTTTAGAAGAACATTTAATTAAATGAAGTCATATTCTTCATATTTATATAAAGTCAGATCTTAAAACTGTGTATAGTTTGATCCCTCAAGTACGTATGGGGTTATTTTCTGATGATGAGGTAAAAATGATTTTAAAAAATATTCTTCTTGTGCTTTTTGTATTATATAACTTTTCTAACTGAGAAAAGAATAATAGATGAGGAGAAAAAAAAAAGGAAAGGCAAAATGCAGTAGTTGCTTTCTCCCTAAATCCTTGGTATCATATTACATCTCTTACTTATGAATACCTATATTTCAAAGAAGCAAGCAAGCTTTATAATTTCAAATGGTGATATTATGCTTCAAGGTATCATATAAAATGTGAATCATGTACTGTAAACACTGGATACATAAAGGATGGAGATGTATTAATTAGCTGATATATAACACACTAAAGAGCTCTGTGTTAAAAAAAAAAACTTAACTAAAACCCAACAATGTTGACTAGAGTAAAATTTTAAATATTCAATTGAGAAGATTTGGTTTAATTCTTTAACATTTAGAAGAAATTTGTAGCAAGATTGGTATTGCTTAATTTTTTGAAAATATCTGCCATGGAAATTTGAGCTGAAGCCTTCTTTTCCTTCAGATATATTGCCATAGCAAGCAAAAAACCTGAAACTTAACTTTCTGTCCCCAAAGTATTATCCCTACTTGTCCACTGGTGATAGCTCTCAGAGTACTTCAGGAATATCACCAAAACACCAGGGTGGAAACAGTTTATAAAATGGGCATCCAGGGGGCTTCAAAGGTATTTGTAGGGGTCTCAGGTTCCCAGGCATCATCTGTAGACCAAATTATTATTATTTTTTACTTGCATATAAGCAGCCCTGTTTTATTTTTTATTGTGCTTTAATAAATTCCATTCAGTTTCTCATACAAAAATTTATACACCCATTGTTGTGTGACCCTAGTTGCTCTCCCTATACTGTGACAGCACACTCTTCTTTTCCATCCCGGATTTCCTGTGTCCATTCAGCCAGCTCCTGTCCCTTTCTGCCTTCTCATCTCACCTCCAGACAGGAGCTGCCTATTTAGTCTCATGTATCTACTTGAGCTAAGAAGCACACTGCCCATGAGTATCACTTTATGTCCCATAGTCCAATCTAATCTTTGAAGAGTTGGCCTCAGGAATGGTTTTAGCTCTGGGCCGACAGAGAGTCTGGGGGCCATGTCTTCTGGGGTCCCTCCAGTCTCAGTCAAACCATTAAGTCTGGTCTTTTACTAGAATTTGAGTTCTGCACCCCACTTTTCTCCTGCTCCATCAGGGACTCTGTTGTGTTCCCTGTCAAGGTGGTCACTGGTGGTAGGAGGGCACCATCTAGATCTTCTGAAGACCAAATTATTTAAATAGTCTCTCCCAAACATACATATACTACCATCAACCAACGGAAGGAAAAAAAAAAGACAACTAAGTAAATATGATAAATGAAAGAGGTAATAACGTAGGTAAGATACGTAAGATGGTGAAAGAGGATGGCCAAACTTTATCCAGACCACAATTCTTTTTAAAAATATAGCTTCTGATATCCATAGTATATAATTGGATTCAAAGTCAGGGACTAGACATAGAAGAAAAAGAACTTATCCATTTCAACCTCCTCATTTCCAAATGAGGAGACGGAAGCTCAGAGAGGTTAGGTCATTTGTCTAGAATGACACAGCTGCCCTACACTCCAGCTCCTAGCATTTGGTCTCAGCTACAATTGAGGCAGGCCACATTCCAGTCCTGGGCTAACTACACCTTCCATTCACTGTGTTAAAGCTCACATCCCCTATCCTGGCTCATCTGCAAATGAATACCACTACTTATAACATGTCAGCTAGGATTTGCCCACAAGAATTAAAAACAAAACAAAACAAAAAAAACCCAACAACTTGCTTTTTGGCTGGGTTACAAAACTATTAAGTTACAAATAATAACTGTTTCAACTTAATATGACTGCTTGTTTTAATTTTTATTGCTACACCAACTGAAAGTTTGCTTTTAAAAAATGACTTAGTAATAAATCCAGTGTCTTTTAATTCACCTGAGGATCCTTCAACTTTCCTGTACGTATGACCTGTCACCCTAAAGCTTGGCTTGCCCTCTAAGCTGCCTGGATTGCTTACTCTAAACCAAAAAGACCCAAACCTGTTGCCACTGAGTCGATTCTGACTCATAGCGACCCTATAGGACACAGTAAGACTGCCCCATAGGGTTTCCAAGGAGCGGCTGGTGAATTAGAACTGCCGACCTTTTGGTTAACAGCCAAGCTCTTAACCACTGCACCACCAGGGGTCTATTTGCCTCCTCTTGACAGGATCAGTTTAGTTCAGCTGAACCTAGGTGGAATTTGTAAAAATCCTTCATTAGGTATTCATCTAACAAATATTTATTAAGCCTTTAGTCAATGTCAGGCACTGAAAACAAAGTACAAAAGCACAAATATACAGAGCACAGACTCCTTATTCTGAGGTTAGTAACCAAAGCTTCATTACAGATTGTTTTGGCTGATATATAAGACCTAGCTCCTGTTTTTCAAATGTGTCTGACTTCGTGTATTCATTTGCTCATTCATTCACTGGATAAGCATTTATTGAACCCTGCCTATGAGTCAGGTCCTATTGCAGGTAAAACCAGTTGCCAGGAATTCGACTCAGCAACTCCATGGTGATCCCATGTGTGTCAGAGTAGAACTGTGCTCCATAGCGTTTACAATGGCTGATTTTTCAGAAGTAGATTTCCAGGCCTTTCTTCCAAGGCAACTCTGAATGGACTCGAGCCTCCAAACTTTCCATAAGCAGTCAAGTACGTTAACTGTTTGCACCACCCCAGGACTCCCCTATTCTAGGTCATAGGGATATAAAGACCAGTTAGACAGATAAAGCTCCTGTTCTCTTACATTCTAGGAGTACTTAGACTCTAAATAAGTCAACAACAACAACAAACAAACAAAAAGATGATTTCAGAGAGTGAAGAGTACTATAAAGATAACAAAACAGGGTAACGTAACAGAGTGACTGGCTGAGGCCTGCTTCGGATAGGTTGGACAAAACAGATGGCCTATCGGAAGAAGTGACATTTGACTGAAACCGGAATGTTGAGAAGGACCCAATCATGTCGATGTGGGACTGGTGCGTGTGTGGTGGGGCGCAGAGGAGAGTATGTGTATTCTCGGCAGATAAAGCAGCACATGCAAAGGCCTTGGGATGGGAACAGACTTGGCAAGTTATAGGAATAGAAAGAAGCCAGTATAGCTGAATCATGCTAGACACAGGCATGTGTAGTATTCATCCTGAAACAGGATGTTGGACCAAGGTATTAGTCTGGAGTCTGATGTGAGTTCAGGCTGGCCCTCCAGTCAGGCATGTTTGGGACTGTCCATTTCTTCCAGGCCTGAGTCTGCTTGTTTGTCTTCTCTGGGCACTGTCTGGGCCCCATGAGTCCTTTCTTGCCTTCAGAAGAAAAGTTCTCAAAGTTGTCTGGCTTCATGTCACCTGCATTTACTTTTGCAAGCGTCTTCTTCACCTCCTTACCAGTCCTTAGACATCCTACCCTGGTCCTGGACCCATTTCCTACCTGGCTAGGTCTCCACAGTCACCAGCTAGTTGAGAAGGCTGGATCTGCTCTTACACAGAACAAAATTCATCTACCTACAGTAAGCAGAAACTCTCAAAACAAGTTCATCTGTGTATGATTCTGCATAACATACAGATATGCTCTCATCTCTAGAATAAAAGATTAAGAGGGTAAATGAGGATTCTAATGCCGTGATAACTTCTCATTCTGAGTTAAATGGTTTTTCTTCATTTTCAAAAATCCACATTGAGCACAGTTTTCCATGCCAACCAATCACATTCCTGTGAATATTTATGAGCACCTCCTTATTTAACTCAAGTCCTGCAGAAAGTGAAGCAACTATCAGAACAGCCTGGCCCTCATCTTATGTCTGTTCTCAGGTCTGGCTGAGTCATTTCCTCCTTGCAGTTAAGCATGTCACAGGGCCTCAGCCCTAACGATTGACAGAGACAGAAGTGTAATCCTTCACTCTTTATTTGCTTCTACTGGACTCAAACCCAGGACACTACAGAGAATGTGTGTGCTCTCTCCTGCTCGGTCATACACTTTGCTTTGACTCAACTTCCCTCTGGGCCTCATTTTCCATC